CTGGGTGTTGTGGCAGGCACCTGTAGTCCCAGCTACTTGGGAGGCTGAGGCAAGAGGATCAGAAGAGAAACTGGCTATCTGGTTGAAAAACAAACATGGAAGCATCTGATCTCACACTAGGAGTTGAGCAGAACTGAAAAACACCATAAACAGAGAAGGAAACACTGCATGACAGGTATCTGAATCTAGGTCTCGGTCGACACCTCAGAGAGGACTCCAGTAGCAGAGATGCTGCTCACACATTGCTTCCTATCCTCCCATCTCTTCCAGTCCCCAAAGAATATATGATTATGGCCAGAGTGCCTGTACTGAAAAATGTAATAGACAGCACTGTATTTTCTTAAAAGGACAAATTATAAGCTTAATGCACTAGATCCAATAACATTTTAAGGAATCAGTAAAAATCCTAGTATTAAACTATTTTCCAAGGTATTTTTGCTGAGACAGTTCTCAAGGTAGGATATTAGATGAACCTGGCCCCTGACCAAAAAGTATCTTCTGGTCATTGACAAACTGTCCTTACAAATCTCCTGCCCCATCCTCACCTAAACCACAGGACACATATCTGTTTAGATCCATCTTTCTCAACATCACAAAGTTTTCCAAAAGAAAATGCAGCCTCAGAGACAAGTGTATCTTATAGTGTCTGTGAGTTTAAGACATAGCTGAAAATTTTAGGACAGGTCTTAGATTCATACTTCATTTCAAAAGCCCACCATGCTAGGAAAGCTAGATATCCTAATACAAAAGAATGAAACTAGATCTCTATCTCTTGTTACATACAAAAATCAAATATAAATGGAGTAAAGACTTAAATGTAAGATCTGACACTATAAAACTACTAGCTACTAAAAGAAAACATTAGGAAAACATTTCAAGACATTGGTCTGGGCAAAGGTTTCTTTCTTTTTTTATTTTTTTAAGACAGAGTCTCAGTATGTGGACCTCAGTAGAGTGCTGTACCATCACAGCTCACAGCAACTTCCAACTCTTGGGCTTAAGCAATTCTCTTGCCTCAGCTTCCCAAGTAGCTGGGACTACAGGCACCCGCCACAATGCCTGGCTATTTTTTGTTGCAGTTGTCATTGTTGTTTAGCTGGCCTGGGCTGGGTTCGAACCCACCAGCCTTGGTGTATGTGGCTGATGCCATAACCACTGTGCCATCCGGGCAAGGGGCCAGGGCAAAGGTTCTTGAATAAGACCTCAAAAACAGAGGAAGTTTCTGCATAGCAAAGCAAATAATAAAGTGAAGAGCAACCTACAGAATGCAAAAAAATATTTGCAAATGATAGAAATAGCAAAAAAAAAAAAATACTATTAAAAATAAGCAAAAGATCTGAATAGACATTCACAAAAGACACACAAATAGCTAACAAAATATGAAAGAAGCTCAACATCACTAATCACCAAGGAAATGAAAATCAAAAGCACAATGAGACATCATCTCACCCATTAAAAAGGTTATTATCAGGAAGAAAATAAGAGATGTTGGCAAGGATGTGGAAAAAAGGAAAACGCTTGTACACTGTTGGCAGCAATGTAAGTTAGTACAGCCACTATGGAAAACAGTGGAGGTTCCCCCCAAACTACAAACAGAAATACCAGATAATCCAGCAATCTCACTGTGGGGTATATACCCAAAAGAAAGTAAATCTGCATACTGAAGAATTATCCGAACTCCTAGGTTTATAGTACCACTATTTGTAATAGCCAAAATATGGAATCAACCTAAGTGTCTATTTACAGAAAGGATGAAGAAAATGTGGTGTGTATATATTTCACTATAAAAAAGAATGAAATCCTGCCATTTGCAACAACAGGAACAGAACCTGAGGACATTACGTTAAGTGAAGTAAGCCATGAACAGAAAGACAAATATCACATGTTCTCATTCATGTGTGGAAGTTGAAAGTTGATTTCATGAGGTAGTGAATAGAAGGTGATTATCAGAGGCTGGGATGAGTAATGGGTATGAGGAAAGGGTAGTTAATGGGTACAAAAATACAGTTGGAAGGAATAAGATCTAGTGTTCAAGGCCAGACGCATTGGCTCATGCCTGTAATCTTAGTACTCTGGGAGGCTGAGGTGGGTGGACTGCCTGAGCTCAGAAGTTCAATACCACCCTGAACAAGAACAAGACGCCATCTCTAAAAAATTAGCTGGGTGTTGTGGCAGGCACCTGTAGTCCCAGCT